TTAGGGAAATCTTGCTACGATCCAGCACTATGGAACTTGGCTCCATTCTCACTGGCGATCATTTTCCTTTTTTGTAAAACAGATTGATTGGGCAAGATGGGAGTGATTTGTTATGTGTTTACGAGCCCTTTCTTCAAGTGAAGACTTATCTGAAGGCCCAGAAGATAAAACAGGAGAGCTGACATTTCTCAGGCAGATACTGGGATGGAACCTAGGCCTGCATTCTTCAGGGTTGCCCAGCCCTAGAGCAGCCTCCAGGAGCTTAGCTGTCAAGCCCTTGGCTTTAGTTGTAGAAAGCCTCTCTCTGGCTCCCCCCAGCCCAGCTCTGTGCTCCAGGGCATAGAACGGGGTATCATGTGACCATAGTTTGCAAATAGTACTAAATATAATTTTGTTCTTGACTCTAGTAGGTCAAGGTTATTAGGATCCCTGAAAACCTCCAAAAGGCTACTTCAGTGTTGGCTTTTTTTGAAAGGCTTAATGGCAGGCTTTTGTTGTTTGTTTGTTTGTTTTGGGGGGCAGATTTTTTTTACCTTTTTTTTTTAAAGTCTTTTGGGGAGGGTGCGGAAGGTCATTGGAAGGAGCAGAGTGGAACACATTATTTGGCATAACTTTCTGGATCTTGACTCACTCTGTGAAGCTGTGGCTAACTCAGCTCCCTTTGATGGAATAAAGAAATAATGTTCTTGGAAGACACAAACAGAGATAAGACACTGTGCATTTCCAAAGTCAACAGGAAAAAATTGGGGGGTAATTAGTGTGCTTGAGACAGTAAGTAAAACAGTCTCTCATTAGAGACTGGATATAAAGGCTTTTGTCAGTGAGTTGTCAAACAGACAGGGAAATGCAGAATATTAAATGTAAAGATCCCCCAACATATCCTGGTGAGTTGATCTGGAGTTGCTGGCTCAGGAGAAACATTTTTATTTTATTATAACCCAGAACCCTTTTTCTTCTTATTTACTCTGAGCACAACTTTCAAAGAGAAGGTTCTGGCAATGTAGTGCTGAGGGAAAGGTGTGGATAGATAAAGTGATATGGTAGTGTTTCCACGGCAGGCATGTTTTTCAGGGTATTTTTATTCTGTTCCCTACCTGTCAGCAGCAAAGAAACTGTAAAGCGCACGCAGCCCTCTGGGCACAGTTCCGGGGCACCCCTGCATTCCCTGGGGAGGGGCTTTGTCTGAAGTGTTTTGCCATTGCTGTTGTGTGTAACTTGAGGCAAATGAGAACGAAATTTGTGTACAAGTTATGAAAACACACACTGTAGCAAGTCATGCTGATTTACTCAAAGTGGGATCTTGTCATGGGGCAATAATGTATTCTTCTCCTTATAATCTTCCCAGGCTCTGGGACTGGAGTGTTTCTACATCTTTTTTATGATAAATGACACTAAAGGGAAATGGCCTGTTTCTTTTTACAGGAAAAACAGATTACTTTTGTTTCCCTCTACCAGGGAGACCTAAGACCCGGGGCAAAAAGATACTGTTGCAAGGGGGAGGAGCCAGGTTTTCCAAGATGTGGAAAACCCAGGGCACAGTCTGCTGAGCCTAGCAGGACAGAAGGCAAGCACATCACGTGACCACTGCCAAGCGCATTCTGTGTGTTGTTAGTCTCAGTACACAAAGTCCACGCAGTTGTGTCCGTGGGCACTGATGTTGATTGGTCGTCTGCTTCTGTTCAGTCAATAGAACTTTGTAGATAAGCTCAAGATGTGGGCGTGGAGTCCTCAGATGTATACATCTCACTACAGCAGTGACCCAGCCCTACAGACCACGTTCGGGTCCTGACTCTTCCTGGTTTCAGCTCCCTGTTTAGGCGTGGGGTAAATAAACCACATGGTCCTTTTAACTCTCTAAACCTATCCCTTTAGTCCTACAGCCGAGCTCCAGCTGAGACTGGTCTCCAGGGCTTAGGGCAGGACATCATTAGAACACAGGTTCATTTTCTTTCCATCCTTCTAGACAAGGTCTAGAAGGTTCTTCTTCCTTATTGGATATGACCTTTTAATAAATTTGGCTTTTGTCTTTCATTGTGGAGTCATTCTTCTTATAAAATTCAATTTGCTTCAGGCTTCTGTCTCTCGCGCTCCGTCAGGCTTCTGTCTCTCGCTCTCCGTCAGGCTTCTGTCTCTCGCGCTCCTTCTGAGAGATGAAGTGGAGGACCCCGTGGGTGTTTCATTACTGAGATCCGCTGCACCTTGCTCACAGCTCATCATAAATTACATCCTGGTTGGCTTCATCTTCTGCTCTGTAATTGCAAAGCCATTCTTGGCCAGATCTTTTAAAGAGATCTGTTGTCGGGCTTGCTGTCTGTGGCGTGTGATTCCCAGGGCAATATAGCAGTGCCACAGGCCACACCTTGCTGCACTCGGAGCCACTCGGGCCCGTCAGAGCGAACGGCAAAACCCAGCTCCACCTGCAGAGAAATTGTCTTCATACTTTCTGGGCTGCCTTGGGCAAGTCCCTAAATTCTTTGGCCTTTAAAGACTTCTCTCCTTTCAAACTACAGTGTAAAGTTTCTCTTAGATCCCTGCCAATGTTTTTTGGGATAGCAGGCTCGAAACTGTGGTTAATAGTTACACAAGGCTCAGAGCTACTCTGGGCAAATAAATTTATGAAATGCTTCTTATCTTATTCATCTCTTAGTTAGATGGCACACAGGTATATTAATATTAAACCTGTCTGAGAAGCCTGTTCAACGACGTTTACTCAAGTATTTCTCAAAGACAGGTGGGTACACCATTGAAAGCACTCTGGTGTGTTTATTTGCTATGTGACAATCACTTTCTCAGGAGCAGTTACAGAAGCAGGGGTTGTCCTAACTTCAAAGGTGACTTGTTCCTGTCAGGTCAGGAACACCCAGGTCCCTGAGTTTGTAACATACCACAGCCATTTAACTACTAAGTGGCTATGCGTTTTAACAGTTCGCTTGATTCTAACAAACTGCCAAGAAAAGTGTCTGGTTCAACGGAGGTCATGTGTGGAGGAGGCTAACCAGGGGAATTGCTTTCTCGGTAATAAAGTCTCAATACTGAATGTTCTCTGTTCTCAGTTGTCCAGTCTACAAGGGGCAGGAAGTCATACTTTTAGCCAGGACTATTTTAGCTCCAGAAAGTAAATGAGGCCCACTAGCCTTTGTTCCTTTCCTCCCTCCCATATTCTCTGTGTGTATGTGTCCATGTGTTTGCATGTGAGCAAATGGAGGCCAGAGACAAGTTCATGTGTCATTCCTCAGGCACCGTCTACCATTTTGTATGAGACAGAGTCTCTCGTTGACCTGGAACCTCACCAAGTGGACTCGGCAGCTAGTCAAGGAGTACCAGGGGTCCTCCTGTCTCCCCTCAAATCTTACCATGACGGGAATTACAAGTGTTCCACAACACCAGCTTTTTACATGGGTTCTGAGAGTGGAAGTCGGGCTTCATGCTTGTGAGCCAAGCACTTCACTGACTGAGTTATAGCTCCCGCCCATACCCTCCCTTGTCTCTCTACTTAAAATTATCTAGGAATAGTAATCTGAGTTTAGGAGACTAGCTTCCTTCAAATTTTAATTGAAGGCCACCAAGAATCAAGGCTGCAACCACAACAGACTTGTGTGGTAGGTATTAAGATGGCAAAAGTCTCAAGACACTGTCAATAACAAAATAAAACATTAGGGCTGAAACGGGGAATCGCTGTCACAAGGCTGCCAGGCAGCAGGTGCAATCAGATTTTCATCAATGCGAGTGACCTCCTGGAACCAGCTGACACGTGACAGCTCTGCAGATGCCAAACATTTTATCAGTGAGGGATTTAGTTATGGCCCTGTGTCTGGCACCTGGCATCTTGCCAGGTCAGAAGAATGTTATCAGAGGTTCTGAGTCCCAAGCAGTGGACCTATGCTAGAGAAGGAGAGTGGAGGACTCTTGGGTATGGTGGCTGCCAGAGCCACTGCAGAACAAACTTATAGGCAGGAAGAGGGACAATTGGGATCTTGAATTGATCAAATTTGTTATTAACTAATATGTTTCAATTAAATCATTTTTCTCCAGTGAGTGAATGCCAGACTTTACATTAAATTACTATCTCAGAATGGATACTAGTGATGACTCCCTGTTGGAAGAATTTAGTATCTTCCCCCCCACCCAGTCAATCTTCTCTCTCCTAGGCCATCCACATATCTGATGCTGAGGGCGTTTGTCTTAGGTGTCCTTTCCCACTGAATTTGAGTCTCCGTAACTTCTCCCGTATGCAAAAGTCCCAGGTGTTCAGAAGTAACTGGGTTGTGCAAGTCAGTCTTGGGTATTCCTGCCCAAGGGGGTGGGGGTTGGGCCTGGGGGTGGGGATGCCTTTACACATAAAGACATTGCTTTCTCCAGCCTGTACCTGATAGAAAATGGTTCAAAGACTATCCCATTCCAGTGCTTTCAGAGGACAGTTCCCAGAGCCAAGATGAGCAGCTGATAATGAAAAAAAAGTCCCTACAGTTGTACAGTGTCTTTCTTATCCTAGTATTAAAAATAATTGTAATAAAAACCCATGTGGTTAAGATGGCAATTTATTTAGGGAAAGGTTGAAAAAGCGCGGTGGAGAGTGGGAAGGGTATTGTCCTTCTCTCTCTGCGTCTCCTCTCAGAGCTATTGTGAAGTGACAGTGACCAAAATCTGGATTCTGGATTGTGCAAATTGAGCCGAATCCTAGGAACATTCTTGGCATGTTTTCTCTGAGTCTTTCTCAGAAGCAGCCAGCGGTGTTCTGAAGCTGTGGTGTCAGGGATCTGAGAGACTCTTACAAGTGGTCCTTTGGGCTGTGGAAATGCTGGGAGGTGAGCTCCTGTAGGTGAGAAAGGTGCTAGAACCACACAGGAAACTCCCTGTTCTTCCTGGGCCAGCAGCACACCCACGATACACACCCCTCCCTGACTTAACTCAGCCCACAAACTCCTGGGAAAAGAGCCAGGCCCAGCCTAGCTACTGAGGACTGGACTCAGTCCTTCTGTACACCGAGGGAAGCAAAGCCAGGACCAGAGGCTGGTACAGGTTAATGCTGGAAATGACGGCGATAGTGGACCCTCGCCACATCTCTGAAGACTGCAAAGGTTTGAGTGTCATTTTGTAAACTTGGCATCTGTGTCTAGCAGGGGACTGTCTTTAGTAAGAAGGAAGGATACAGGGCTCTTTCTGTCGGTAAAACCATGGTATGCCTATTTTTTACGTTAACATAGAAACCGATGTATTCCAAAAGCGCATACTTACATAAAATGCCTACCTCACATGTCAGCATACCTGTCGATATTAATAAACGAGGGTGTTAGACTGGACAGGGCTGTTTTGAACAGAAGCACAGCAGGTGGGCAGGTACTTTAAGAGCATCCTCAGTGACAGTGGACAAACACTCGTGATCGTGTTTCTGACAGTTTTGTTTCAGTTTGGATGCTGCCCCTGGGATATTTTCTCAGCAGTTTTGTTTTGGGGGAGACTTTCTTCCTCGGTGAGGGGTGAGACTGGGTTACCTCGGTTTCTGGAGAGCAGGCAGTAGGGGATGTGGCAAAAGGCAGGTGGGCTTAGTGCCCTCCCGCTTCGAAGCCGGCTCTGCCTGGGACGCAGCACTTCCGGTCAGCTCAGCCTGGCTCAGCTGTGTCATCCTCCGGGCACTTGGAGGACTGGGGCACCTGGATCTGCTTCACATGAGCACACTTGTCAGGAGGCATGACGGCATTCAGCTTTGGCACACGGTAGATGATGAATAATTCATGTGGCCTCTCCCGCTCTCCCGCTCGCAACTTTTTCCAGTAAAAGTAATTCTCAGAGCTCAGGCTTTAACAACCCAGACACACGATCCTGCACTGACTATTGATCGGCTTTAGACGGTAACTGGAAGGTGAACACTGACAAACATTGGAATAGTAAGCTTTAAAGTTGACAGTAGCCCTAGGTGGGCAGTAAGCCAGAGTCAGTCTCAATGTTTCCCTCCCCTCCCACACCCACACTGAAGGATTAAGATCACGGGATTTTTACAGAAGACTCTTAGATACCCTCTGGCCCTCCTTGAAGGCAGAATCTAAATTTTAATAAAAACACTATATATGGCATAATCATTAAGATGTAGTGATGCGTGTTTTCTGGTTTTAAAAAAACTATAATTTTATGATCTTCCTAACTGAAAGAGGTCATAGCGATAAAGTTACAGTGTCTCAGGGTCTCTAGACATCTATGTAAATATATTCATGATATATAAGACATGATAATGCAGATATGTTATTTTTAAGTAAATTCAAGGTCTTTGTTTTTTCTGCTCGCACGATACAACGAACGGACTTTCATCTTGGTTTCCAGGAACATTAGGGTAAATTACAGAAAAATCTTACATGACAGAAGAGATTCTAAGCCAGTAGAATAAGCTGTAAGTGGGTGCTATTTCTAGAGACTAAGCCCGGAAAGAAAATCTTTTTCCTCCTTTGCTTTAATTGACTCCCTTTCTATTCCGAGGCATATTTTGAAGGTATCTGGCATCTCTGCTTGCTGCCAACTGGAATCTGAAAAACATATCTCTAGAACTCACTCAGTTAGCTCGAATCTCAGTCATAATTAGATTGGAACTTGGCAAATTATTTCAAGACTTAAAATCAGACACACTTTATGTTTGGAACAAGAAAGGGTCTCATTGCTCTGTATTTAAAAAAAAAATAGTGCTCGATTCAGGGCACATTGGCAATACATTTGTTATTCTTTTGAGTCTTTCTAACCTGCCCAGGCTTGCCTTAAATTCTTTATGTAGCCCATGTTGGCCTTGAACTCTTGGCTGTCCCTGGCATCAGCCTTCTAAGTGCTGGGATCATAGCATGTGTTACTACGATTGGCTATAGCAATGTATTTTTTACTGAAGTGTTTTTTTTTTTTTTTTATGAAGGGGTACATTGAATGGACAGGAGTCTGACCGTAATTAAACATCATTTCTATTCTCATTAATTGGTTCCTGGATGTTTTCAAACAAACCTGGTTATCCATCCCTTGTAGATCCCTCTCTTCTCCTTGAGTACCTAGAGGCAAGATTTTGATCCAGTCATTTGTTCTCTTCAGATATAAAAGGAATGCGTGAGCTAGCATTTGCATATGATTAATAGTAATTTAGGCATCTGAGATATCCAGCCCTCTATTTTATATTTAAATGTGACTGCTGACACCTAGGTCTCCGTCATTTGCATATACTTTAAAGGCTGTGATGAAAGCCAGGATAATCATCAGAAGACTGTGTTTAACAAGCCTTCCTGCTATGTCACTCATTCCTACAAAGGGAGAGAGCACATCTGTATGCCTCGCAGGTTTCCTGGGCGAGGATGGAGATGGCGGGTTAGATGGTGGGCTCTCCCTTAAAGAGGCATTTACAGCTCCTTTGGCAAATGAGCTCTGCCGGGGTCGTCCATGAACGTGGACCAATCAGAGCATGAGGTTGCCAGGAACACGCGGGAGGAGTGAGGACCAATAACAGCCAGGAGCGCCCAGGTTCCAGAAAACAGCAATGGCAGGGCTTTGAGAGCTTCTGCCCAAGCCTCACCTCCCCCACCGTGACAGTCACTCTCTTCCCTGGCTTATGACTACACCAAGCTGCCTCAAAGACCTTAATCTGATGGACAGTATGAGCCTAGCATTTCCTTTGTTTTTTTATGGCACCGTTCAAGGCCCCACGCAGCATGCGGAAGTGATTGAAGCGATCTTCCAGGAGTTGTCGGACGCATGGTCTTGGTCAGCATGATAGTGGAGTGACAAGCACCTCTTTATTGACTACCAGGGCCAGGTCTGACTGTGAGCCTCTCTGACTTCACAATCAGTCTCTTGTTCTTGGGAGCCACCATTACCTCTTCACACAGCGTCACAGAGACTGAAGACTTACTCTCCCCTTGTTAATGGGACAGCTCTTTGGTGAACTTTTTTTCCTGATATAAATGTATACTGTAAAGTTAAAGCAGGAGAGAACAGATCTGTTGGACAGAGGGTCCTGGTTAAGTCCTTGGCCTCTAGAGGCAGAGAGTTGGATCAAATCATAGCTCCAACACCTCTTTCCATGTAACCTTGGATGAGCTTCTTAATTTAAACAGCATTTTTTTTTGGTGGTGTGTATATGCGTTGCGTGTATATATAGATATGGACATGTCTGTGCACATGCGTGTGGAGTTCATAGGTCACACTGGGTGTTTTCCTTGTTTGCTTTTCTACCTGACTTTTTTGGGAACAGTCTGCTCGCTGAACCTGGAGCTCACTGACTGGCTAGTCTGGCTGGCCAGTGAGCTCCCGGGACCCACCGGTCTCTGCCTCTGACTCCCAGAGTTGCCAATGCCTGCCTCAGCACACAGCTTTGTTCTTTAATGTGGATACTGGGGCTAGAACTCAGGTCTTCGTGCTTACACAGCAAACATTTTACTGATGAGCCATCTCCCTGGTGTCGTTTCCTAATTTTTCCTTCTCTGGGAGGATGGGATGGGTGTTGCCTTAGTTGGGGGTTTCTATTACTGTGATAAAATTCAATGAACAACATCAGGTTAGGGAGGAAGGGCTGTGTCTCAGCTTATAAACGTCATCATCCAGGGAAGTCAGAACAGGAGCTCAAGGCGGGAACCTGGAGTCAGGAGCTGATGTAGGCCACCGTGGAGTGCTGCTTACTGGCTTGCTCCTCGTGGCTTGCTCAGCCTTCTTATACCATTTTAGACTACCTGCTCAGGAGTGGCACTGCCCGCAGTGAGCTGGGCCCTCTCCCAATCAATCATCAGTCAAGAAAGAGTACCATGGGCCAGTCTGTGTTGGCATTTTCTTAGCTGAGGTTCCCTCTTCCCAGATGACGTGGGTCAAGTCTACAAAAGACTAACCAGTACAGGGTTGAAGGCTGTCCCATGTAGCCCAGGTTAACCCTGAACCTCCTAGGTCACTGAGGATATCCTTGGACTCCAGATTCTCTTCCTCCCTCCACTTCCCAAGTGTTGGGAATACAGTCACATGATACCACACCCAGCTTAAGTTTTTAACTTCTGTAATCCTAAATTTCTACATCTGTAAAAATAGGGGTAACACAACTACCTGTTTTATAGGAGTATGAAAGTTAAGTGAGAACATCTATAAAACTCACACCCCACCCAGGATAATGAACAGGTTACACAGTGCGCAATTACAGCTCTATCTGGACATTCTTTTCAATTAATTATATTGTTGGCCAATCCTTCGGAATCCTGAATAGTTTGGATTATTTCTACTTTTAGGGGTTTATTTTCATTTTCATGGATTCTATTTTGGGTTGTTTCTACTTCTAGGTATTATTTGTTTGATATGAATCATACCAGAAAAGACTTTGATTATAAAATTATAATGCAGGAGAGACTAAGCTGCCCTCGACAGACATCGAAACCCAAGGGGGACTCCTGCCCTCAGCCTTACGTGTGGCTTATGTCACCACAGCCATGAGTACTTTTACATTTCCAAATCAAACAGCAGCTTCTCCCAGGATGGGAGACCAGGCTGTAGACCAGGTTGCTCTCTGCCTCCCCAGTGCTGGGATTAAAGGCAAACACCCAGCAGGCGTAATACTTCTTTTTTGGGGGGTGGGGGTTTGAGAAGGTTTCTCTGTGTAGTCCTGGCTGTCCTGGAACTCACTCTGTAGACCAGGCTGGCCTCAGACTCAGAAATCTGCCTGCCTCTGCCTCCCTACTGCTGGGATTAAAGGTGTGTGCCACCACTGCCTGGCTGGCGTAATGCTTCTTAAAGGGGCTTTTTGCTTTGTCATTATTCTTCAAAGCTGAACGAATTGGTAATCTACTAAAATTCCTAACTACGCATCATTCGAGCCATCTAAGGGAGTCTGTACACCTCTCTGGTAAAGATCCAGATTCTGAGATTTCATCTTACTGTTTCTTCTACAACAGACTGCCTTTCCCGTCTGTTTTTCTGTTTTACTAAATGACCCTTTAAAAATACAAAAAGAATTTCAAGAACATGGGGTTGGCAAGATGCCTCAGTGGGTAAAGGCGTTTACCATCAAGTCTGAAGACCTGAGTTCGATCTCAGAACCCACATTGTAGAAGGAGAGAGCCGACTTCTGCAAGTTATCCTCTGG